AACTTCATTCTATTTTCTATAATGATCCAACTAATTCATGTCCTCACCTTTGATCTCTATCATTGCTAATACGTGTGACCGATTACCTTATTGATGAGCAAGTAGAGTTCTGGCAATAACCATCCATGAAGGTATCAAGAGCCTCCTATGCTTTGCCTATGAGATTATAAAAGAATATTTGTAATGGAACTCCACATCTACATCCTTTAAAACTCTTACACAAAAAGCCCAGGCATTATGGATACAGAAGACACAGCTGAGGTGTCTGTGCTGTTTGAAAAAAAAAAAAAGACTACTTAAACCTGAATCATTTATAATGAATACACATTCATTGACTCCCACTTCTAGATAATTTAAGGTCAAATTTTCATTTAATGGTGAAAGGTAGGACGTGAAAAAAGGAAAGAGGGAGAGAGGGTGGCAAAGGGAAGGGAAAGAAGCCAAGCTAAGCTCTCCTTTTACAAGGAACTTTCTGCTGCGACACTAGCATTAATCCATTTGTGAGGACAGATTTCCCATGGCCCAGCTCCCTCTTAAAAGTCTCACATCTTAATATCATTCTAATAGCAATTGTATTTTAATATGAGCTGGAAACACACAAGCATTGGAACCACATATTATAAGGCAAGGTTGAGAACGAAGATGGGCAAGATGTCATCATTATTGAAGAGCTAGAGAATGGGGAAACTTGGTCCACAGACCAGCCTACTATCCGGAACTTAGTGTGGATGCCTCATCATAGCTTCTCTAGAAAAAGACATCTTTGGAGTCCTGAGACAAGACTAATCAATATGAACAAATGGATGAGCTCTGATTTCTCATCTGTGTAACAGTAAACTTTGCCCAGAAATGGCATATATAGAGAAAACAGTACTTGGTATCAGATCAAACTTTAGTGTCTACTTCTGGTTTAAGTCATCCCTGTAATCAAGCAAGAGTTTGCACCAAGAATTTCAGAAGGAGAATCCCATTTGGTTGAGTTTCCAGCCTTCATATTACCAAAGCAGAATGGCAGTCTCAACTGACTTCCTAGAACATAGTTGTAGTCTTAGGTTCTATTGTAAGCTGCTGAAGAAAATAATCTTGGTATTACCTAAGCAATGACTGTGTTGCCAGCTTATCAGTCAAAATTCATGAAACTCCCTTGAGGGTGAGCTCTGTGGCAGGTCTCCTCTACTCTCATTTTACTTCACCTTTGATAGTTCTTCCAGTATCCTCGTCTCTAAGGAATCATCTAGTCCTAGACTGTTCTCCTGAGAGGACAGATGGAGTAGAATCAATCTCCCAAATGGGTTCCTCTCATCCCTAAATCTGAGTCAAGTTATTTCCACACTTTGATGCTAGCCCATCAAAATGTAAACTACTAACAGTCGCAGTCTTCAAGAACTACAGCTATATTTTCACTACCTCAGTATCCCTATAACAGAATCATGCATATGTATATGTATGTGTATGTGCATGTGCATGTGCATGTGCATGTGCATGTGCATGTGTATGTGTATATGATGTATAGACTCAAGAATGGTCACTGTTTGGCTGAATGACTACAACCACAGACAATAAAAAGAGCCACCATCTCTGTGGCTCAATATGTTGGGGGAGGACCCACGAACAACCAATGTCTTTGGACACAATGCAAATAACTCAATCTGTTTACAAGAAACTTCTGTAATAATAGAGTTAATGAAGACGAAATTGAACTTATTTTAGTGTAGCTCCCAACATTTATACAAATAGAATAGACTGGCACGTGTTCCAAGTGTGCTTTTGTTGATTATTTATCTGATTGTCTCACTTTCTTACAGTACAACTACCATCTACCACCAAGAGGCCAGTAAGATAAGCCCTTCTGGAACAACTAAAATAACTACCATAAAGGGAATGCATCATAAGAAGAGCAACTCAGGCATTGCCTTTGATATAAGAATTTATTTTAGTTATGATCTACAGGCTTGGAATTCTGTCTCAATGTTAGACAACAAGTGAAGGGCATGTGTGTGTGTCTGTGTGTGTGTGTGTGTGTATGTGCTATGTGTGTGTTATGCATGTGTTGTATGTGTGTTTTTTTGTGTTTGTGTACTTGCACATGCATCAGAGAAAGCATATTTAGTAAAAAAATAAATCTTTATGAACACTAAGAAGAATTAATGTTCATATGATGACTTTTTGCTGTATGAGTAGCTGCATTTGTAGATTTTTTTCTTGTTGGCATGATTAAAATGAGATTGAAAAAGTGACCTCTAAAAAGTGAGCTTCAGATTTTAAAAAGTACACTTGCACAGGACACCTTACAATATGAATTATACATTCTAGGTGGGGAAAGGCACATAGGACTGAAACTGTCCCAGCATTCTCTCTCTTGAGGCATAGTCTTAAGAGAGGAATTGTGTACTGGCCCTGACACCTTTAGCTGTTCAGCTGAAAGTCCACTCTATCCAATCTTTGAATGCTTTCGAACATTGGATCAATCAATCATTATTCCTTTCCCCCCTTTTCCTCTGTAGCTTTGGATTCAAATAGTCTTCCCAGGCACATGTTGCTATAGGAGACTCTGTTTGTTGAGGGTGGAGTGGTTGGTTTTGGCATGTTAGGAGAGGGTCAATTAATTCTAATAGGTATTTATTATATTAAACACTTGAGTTTCCAAAATTTCTCTGTATTTATAGTGCTCCCCTTTTTTATGTAAGTTTCTTCCTCTTTCTAGGACCCTTTAGGAGTAAAAAATAAATATCTTTTAGAAATCAATTCAATAGAAGCCCAGTGAGCCCTACAGAAGATCACCTAGGGAGTTACAGCTTCTTTATGGATTCCCTTATGTTCTTGAGATGAGAAGCCATCCATGGTAAAGATGTTACAAGGAACAATTACCCAGGATTCTTTCCTAAACTGACTTAAAAAGTATAGGCTGGAGCTGGGGGTATAGCTCTGCTTGTCATGTTTTTATTACAAGCATAACAACATGAGTTTCATCCCAGAACCCCTGTTAAAAACAAACAACAACAAAAACCCCAGCATTTTGTGGCACACACTTCTAATATTACTATTATGGAGGCAGAAACAGACAAATCGCTAAGGCTCTTGCCTTGCACAGTTAATAAATTTCATCTGAAAACAATAACCAAAACAAAAACAATAAAAACACAAATGGCACCTGTGGAATGATACCTAGAGTTGTTCTCTCATCTCCACAAGGATGCATGCATGCACTGGAACACACATAAATATACATGCATATACAGAGTATAAGCTATTTTTTAAAGGATGTCATCCTCTCCATGCTAAAGAGCGTGCTAATACATGCAGAAGTGGAGAGATATATGAGGTGAGTTTTTATAATTATAACAATCATATTCACAGCTGACCAAGTTTAGTCAGTTATTTAGTCAAGGTTAGAGGAAGTGTGTTTAGTACTAGGTGGGTAAGTTATTCTCTAAACACTTGAAAAAAGAAAAAGAGACTAAAGTATCTTTAAAGTTGGATCTGGTTCTCCAAATCCTGATTTGGAGAACCAGATCCAATCTCAAGCACTTTCAGGGACAAAAATAACTGGTTCAGTGTGAGAGACAAAAGTTCATCTTCGAATCTTTGTTGTTTTTCCCAGAGAGGCCTGTGTTGCAAACAGAATTCATTTCCCTTATGCTCTCAGCTAACATAGCTGTAGAGCTATGTGACAGCTACCCTACAAGTAGTATCTTTACAATGGTTGGCAAATGGGTATACATCTGGGATGAGATGTTCAAATGACCTCAGGACCCTATAGAAGTAGTGCCATGGATGAGCTTGTTCTGACACGACTCATTTGCTGAACATTATTTCATAGCCATTACAGAACTGAGTCACCTATTTCATCAAAGCATGATGGGCTATGGGATAGTCTTTGTATTTGACATTTTAGGAGGGTAGGGGAGAAGTGGTCTGTATCTGTAACTCCAAGGTGGTCTCAGGACACCAAATTTCTGTGATCCAAAGAGCTTATTTATGAGATGTTTTCTAAGGGTTTACATTTAGGCACAAGCTGGAGAGGGTGAGCCAGGGATTCTGTACAGGAAGGCTGACAGATAGATGCCCCTGGATGCTGTATAGTATATGTTCTTCAAGAGATAGCTCTCTGGAGAAGCAATATATTGGTCTGCTGAACTGTTTGTTTTAAATTCTTGTTCCTGTTCTTATCACGCTTTTTCTTTTGGGGTGAAACACTCCATTAATTCTAGCCCCTTTCCTATTTTGGTTCCTGTTAACTGATGGTGGTAACATGAATATAGGGAAATAATTCTGTCCTCTATGCTCAAATGCTGTGTCTAGCTGCCGTGAGTCAGGTAGCTAGCTTTACATGTGGCACATTCTGTGCCACTCCTGATGTTTTTAACATGGGATCCCTTTCACCTTGGACAGACAATATATATATATATTCAATATATATATATAATCATAGCAGCTGAGGACTTCTAGAGACTCTAAGTGCCAAGCTTCCAAAACCCAAGAGATGGACATAAAAGTGAAGAGAAGTAGCATTGCATGCAAGATACGTGACAAATGATACCTAACACTTCCTGACCCTGGCTATGATCAGGGAGATTATTATCATCTATATACATTTCTTTCCTCACTGATAAAACCAACATTGTCACAAACACTGGCTGTTTTTTTTCTTTTTTTCTTGAAAATTAGCAGAATTAAAATTTAGAAGTACAATACACATACTATAAAGATTTATTATTACAGGAAAGCTAAAGTAACTGATTAGAGCATTTAATGATACAAGCAGACCTCACACGAGGCCAGAAGCAATTGCTTAATGTAAAATCAGACGGTGCCTTGGACACAAAGGGTTTTTTTCTTAAGGCTTTTGAACATTTTGAGAATGTGGTTTGCCTTTTGGGTGCTTCTCTAGAGTCTCTTGAATATTTTGTGAATTTGGTTGGAGTTGGTTATAGATGATTTGTGGGAAGGGGAAGGGGGCCGATGGAGTTACACAGGATACTGACTTTGTCTCTTCACAGCCTTTCCAAGCAGATGGTTGGTGTGACACTATCAATAACCGGGCCTACTGCAACTATGACGGGGGAGACTGCTGCTCTTCCACACTCTCTTCCAAGAAGGTAAACAGAGCACCTGGGATGGCTGGGAAGGCCGAGGCTCCTGAACTAGTGGGGCTTTTGCTAGCTCTCCTTCATGGTGCATCATAACTGGCTCTTACCCAGTCATTAAGAGATAACTACCAGGAGTAAACACTGGAGTTTCTGAAGTCATTCGGAGATTAAGTGATTAGGAGATAAGGTGGAGAACATGGCTTACTAAGCTGTCAACCTAGTTGACTATTGGTCCAGCAGTGACTTTTGTTGCTTTAAGTATTCCGCCTACTTATTATTGCCCAGACAAAAGAATGTCTTTCTTCACTTAAAGGACCTAGATTACCAACAAAAAGCTTCCCAGTTATTCCTCATCTTTGTAATTAAACCAAAAGCCCCAATAGTCCTAGATGACAAATATATCATAGGAATGTGTTACTCTCTGGACCAGATCAGTAATACCCCTTTTTTTCTGAAATTCTTGGTTCTGTTAGATCAATAGATAGGCTCCCTATGTCCGTAAAATTGAGTGAGCTGAAAATTTCAATGTTATGAGTAAAAATCCAAGTGCTCTAAGGAGATTTGTAGCTAATTTGACAAATTCAATGAATTTAATATATGCAGATATTATTTCCATATATATATATATATATATCCACGACCAACTCTATACAAACTGGAATACTATATATAGTTTTTCCCTTCCAGTCATTTACTGTGTGACAGGCACTGTGCTCAGCGTTTCATATCAACAAAGTGACTTAATACATAGTAATTAACCACTCATCAAGTCACCAACCAACTTGAGCCTCTGTTTCTCTGAAAATCAATCAATCTTGAACTAAGAGAAACAGATCAAACAGTCACAAAACAGGTCAATTACTTTCTATTCTTACTTGTGGAAAAACCTACTTGAGAAACTTATATATATACAGGAAGACACCGCCACCTAGGAAGAAGTCATTTAACTATCCCAATTTCATCTCTGCAAACCTGAGACTTGTCTTTTAACTGTAGACACTCAAAGGGAATTGCTTACTTGACACTAACAGTAAAGCAGGACAAAGGCAACATTTTCTGCACCATCTCTGAAATTGGATAATTGCATACAAATGAGATAACAGCCACACACAATGGGAAGGGATATGCAATATCTCACAATCCCAACATATATTGTAGGCTCAAGAAAGGCAAAATTCCATGCATATGAAGATGCCACAGATGATCCCATTGCTTCAAGAGCATAGAGAAGTCAGAAACATGAACATTTAGGGATTCTTCGTTAATATGTAGCACCCATTGTTCTGAGTTAAGTCAGTTCTAGTCTTCCTCATAAAGAGAGAGTGCTAACATTCATATTTATGTCTATGAGGATTACAGCAACAACAAAAAATTAACTAGACTTTGTCAATAATACTAAAAGTTATTCCAACAAGTTATAAGTGTAGAACCAGGTATAAATGTGTTACAGCGTTCATGTTCATTTGACACAACCACACAGATGTTCTCTGGAGGGTGGTACTGATGTCTTCTCACCTTGTAGATGAAGAAAGAAAGAAGTGAAGGATTACCTTGCCTAAAATGACATGGTATACAATTTGAGAACCCAGCGTTAATTACAGGTCTCTGATGCAAACCCCCATTTTCATACTTCTTGTAGTACCAAGTGAGGAAAATTAAAGCCAGTTGAAAATTGTGACACTTTGCCCAAAAATGGATGATTTCAACTTCCTGTTCACTCCCCTAGGTCATTCCATTTGCTGCTGACTGTGACTTGGATGAATGCACCTGTCGAGACCCCAAGGCAGAAGAAAACCAGTAACTCTTGGACAAGAGCTCACCTCCTCTTCCCTGGAGGCAGACTAAAAGAGAGGCTCCCATAGCAGGATGCAAAGTGGGAATGAACAAGACAGGTTCCATAATGGAAGGAGAGCCTAGAAGAGAGCCTTTAAGAAATGCAAGAATGTTTGTAGGTGCCAATTAATGCATTAAGTAGTCCAAGTAGGGAGGGATTATAAGCAAACGTTTCTGTAAAAAGCCAATTGATTAGAAATGGAAGGAGAAATTGATGGACAGGACCCCCTCCCCCATCTGTACTCTGCTCCATCCTTCTCTCAACTCTCAATCTCCTCCTCATTCTGCACGCTGTCAGTTGCTCAGCCCCACCCAACATGTAAACCAATATCAAAATATTAGAAGATAAGCTGCCAGGGACTCTGTCAATACCCATTTCTGATGGACTGTCATCTTTCAGGGCTCATCTACTCCAGACTGACCCTTTGCCTTTCTTTTGTGTGGTCTCTCTCAAATGATGAGGTTAGCTATTTCTTTAAAAGTATTTAAACATAATTATATAAATATATTATATATTATATTTTTTGCTGTTTACTAAGCTACAGATTATCCATTGTTCCACAAATGCTGCTGTGAAGTTCATGTCCAGATGGATACTGAAGCTTCGAGGACAGAAAGAAAGGTTCTTTTGCCTTCCTCCCATAGATAGGGATTGGTAGGTCGGATGGGGAGAAGAGACTCGATGGAATTCTGGATGCTGGCCTGTCAGTTGATCATCATTTTATGACCTGGGAGCTGGGCCTACTGAAAGGAGATAGACTTGGCATGCTAAGAGCAAGAGGCATGGAAAGTTACAAATGAGAACCTATTTGGCAGTAGGTCTAGGAGAAATAGACAATGGTTTCTAAGTATCCAGCAAAAGGAGCATACAAACGCTTCTACACTTCTCAGAACTCTCAGTTGGAGTTCATGAAGACCAGGGTCTTTTCTACTTCTCCATGTACCTAGTCCAAGTATAGCTGCCAGCCAGCCAGCCAGCCAGCCAGCAAGCCAGCCAAAACGTTTGTATTAGGGCTCATTCTCTGAACATCAAGCTTACAGGAACTTACACCCTCTTCATACTTGGCCAGTTGGTGTCTCTCCTTGTTGCAAGTCTCAAAGCCTGGCAGTCATTCACAGCCACATCACCAACTGTTGATTTTTCTGAGAAAAGAGAATGCTTTGGAAATTCATTGGGGGAACAGATAAGAGATAAAAGAATGGGGAGCTGGAAGAGTGAAAAGCTGTCAGAGAGGTGAAAGGTCAGAGAGGTGAGAGGTCAAGATTAAATGAGGTCTGAGGGTAAGAGGATGGAATGAGTGAATAAGCCCCTGTTCCAAGTCTCCAAAAGAGGCCAGAGATCCTTCGAGCAATGAGATAAATCTTATTCAAGTGCAAAGCATGAAGACTGTGGCCGAGTAAGTAACATGTGGAGTGAGGGTGACACTCTGTGGGAAGAAAGAAGAATTTCAACTATTTAGGGTCCATGTTATCTTTACCATTTCTTGTTCAATAGCTGTATGGACTATGTACAAAACAGTCACATTAACGCTTCTCTGTCCATCCAGCTCATACTTTCCCACAGAGTCTGTCCTAGGTATGTTTTCTTATAACAGATTTTAGATCACACCTAGAGAGAAAGTCAGGACATAGTTTCTTTCTTTTAATGATGGTTTTTTTTTTTTTCTCTTACAAAGGCTCTGAGATCTGTCTCCACTAATTTTCCCTCCAGTGAAAACTAAGACCAGGCAAAACTTGGAGTCACTTCCGGTATCTCCAAAACCTATCTGCTTTTCCTACTCTTCATCATCAAGGATGAAGCAACTAATCTATAAAATGAGAAAGGAAACATTATTTAACATCATCAGGACATTACCCCTGCTATACATGAAGAGCAATATTCTGCAGTGACTGTGGATATGGCAATATACATATGAATAAGTGGAATGTGGACAACAAAGCCATTGAGAAGGGGAAAGGCAGTGTTAGTCCTCTATTCCTAGCAATAAGGCAAACAGTGCTTACATGCTGTTTACTATCTAGGTCACATGTAGTACCCTCTGTCAGGAAAGACAATTCATATTCTGAATTCTGATAAGTTTAATATGGAAAGAACAATAGAAAGCTTAGATTCTCTACTAAATATTTCAATTCATATTTCTGGATCCTGATAAGGTTAATATGAGAAGACTAATAGAATAGTTTAAAGTTTAAATTCTCTACTAAATGCAGACACACACACGCGCACACACACACACACACAATGCTTTCTTGGAGAAGCATTCAAATTCCTGGATGTGTGTCAACTTTTGCCTTAGGCAAATCCTGACAGAGACGTGAGACAGAGCAATAGTATCTTGTACACAACTCAGTGCAGAGAGTCTGTCTCTCCCAAGAGCACTCATGAGCACAGGGTGCCCACCAGTGTGTGTCCATGCTCAGTCTCTCCATTAAGTCTACTAAGAGTAACAGAGAGGACATTTCCATCCCATGCTTCACTTTAAGATATTTTGTTCTTTCTTGGCAACATCCATCCTGTTCTGGGAAGGCAAGAGGACAGTTTCTGGGGTGTGTGAAAGCTCCCCAGGCTGAAGGCCACTTAGCCATAATCAGCTAGAGACAGAGGCAGCCGTCTTGTTTAGACTTTGTCCCTAGGCTCCAGTGTTTGAAGAAACTCAAGTCCCTAATAAAGAAAATGATCAGAGATCCCAAGGACAGCTAACATTTGCCCCCAGGTGATTGTATTCAGCTCTTCTTAGACATCCATTATGTCATCCAGGGACCTCAACAGAGGCTCCTCTGCCCGTTTCTTTATTCCAGTCACCTGTTTCTTGTTCCTGGTAGCCAGAGTTTTGAGGTCCACATGGCTAAAGGTGGCTGACTTCAATAGTTAGCATGGCCGCCTTCAATCACAGACACAGAAAAGATGTCAGCAGGGGCAATGAGCAGATCCTGGCAAAGAAGGCAGCAAGTAGAGTCTTCTCGGTTCTTTCTTTTCCTTTCCTTTCCTTTCCAACATTACAAGGCCTTGGTCTTTGACAGGTCATCTATTCTGTGTGATCACCATTGAGTGTGTCAGTTAGCACCCAAGGGGACAGTTTGGTGGAAAACACAGTGAAAGGGGCTGATCTACTGTATTGTAATGTAAAACAGCCACATCCAGTTATTTTATAAGATTATAAAACATTCATTAAAAAATCAGCACATAAAATATGAAGTGTGTTTGGTGTCTTATTCTTTGTTTCAATAATATCATTATTTCAGAGTCACTTTTCATTGGCCTAAACAAGACCCACATTTCCCTTATTGGCTGGCCATTCCCTGCAGTCACTTGAAAACTATTTGTTATATAAATAGGTTATGAAAGAGATATAAACATGGGAATCCACAAGAAGAGATGACATTTACCAAGGTAGAGTGTGTGGCAGTGATGCCAAATGCCTTGTGAGCTGTGAAACAATGCTTAGGAAGAATCATTTACATTTCAGATGTGATAAGCATCATCCCTGGATGCCAAGAGGCAGTGGCATTTGAGTCCATTATTGGACATTAGTGAGGCATCCAGCCTAGCTGAAACTCAGAACTAAATTAATATGTACAGGGCAGTTGGTAAACAAATCTTATTTAATTCTCAGGGGATGGGGAGTCTGAAAATCACATATTCTCACTTCACAGATGAGAATACCAACCACCAGTCTGGAGAAGAAAGTTCTCCCAGAAGACATGACTAAACTAGCTTCAAGCCTGGCTTGTGGGATACTGAGGTGTAAAAAGATAAAATGAGTAGTGAGCAATAAGAAAGGAGGATGTGATGGACAATGGACAGGGTCAGAGGTGATGGACAGGGTCAGAGCTGATGCTACCACATCCTGTGATGCTATCATCGCTGAGGGAAAAAAATGAGCCAGGAGAGCAAGTTTAGAAGCAAGAATATTAATTTGCTCTTTTTATGAATTTTGCTTGATGACCAGATAGATAATTAGAAGTGTCTCAGAAAGCCCAAAGTCAGCACCCTGGAGGAGGCCTGTGCACCTGGGACCAAAAGGCTAAATTCTCTGGTCATGCCAGACACAGTTGGGAAGGCCAGATGGATTACTCATACCACCTTCCAGAAACTTGGTAAGACAAGAAAAGGTGGCTGGAAACATAACCTTAGACTTTGGGAAAGAGGTTTGTGGTTGGAAGTAAGCATTGTATAATAAAAGAAATGATTCCTTGGCATTTTCTGCAATAACTTTCAAAGTGCCTTCCTGTGATTTCTGGATATCTGTGGATGAGGAGGAGATCAGGTTTGCTTTTGCTGTTCTACAAGTGAGGAAACTGAGTGATGGAGAAACTATTAGAAATTGGAAGTATGTGTAGTAAGCTTCAGGTTACACAAGATTCCAGATATTGTTTGTTTTGTTTTGTTCTTTGCTCTTAAATGTAATGTGTTTTCTGTTAATACTATTTGTAACCCAAGAGTGAGCCCAGATCCTACTGCAATGAGAAAGGTCACAGCTTTTCATTTGTTTGTGTTTGAAGGAGCGCATGTGTTTCCCTATAGTTTTCTTAGGCTTTTTTTTCTCTCCTCCTGCTCCTCATGTTAAATGGTAGGGAGTCATCCTTGAACCCTGACCCTCTCATATGCCAGGCCCTGAGTATAAGCAGATGCCCTTGAACATGCCAATTAGGACAGCTGGACAGAAACATCTGGCAAGGTTGCATTCTTCTTAATAGTATTCTGCAGGGAAAGCCTGGTTTTCATTGATTGACAAATTGAAATGACATGATTAGTTATCCCTAAGCTGAGAGCCCTGAGCTAAGACACCTGCACTTCCATTCAGGCCATGCAGGTGATGAGAAGCTTTGGGGGTGAAAGAAACAGTGAGTAGAATGTTTTACACTTCTAAATTGCTCCAGCGAGTCTCTGGACCTGGTGCTGAATCCTTCCCCCCAACCCCCATGTGTATGTGTGTGTGTGTGTGTTTGTTTGTGTGTGTGTGTCTC